GATGTGTTCGATGTGCAGAAAGGATAAATAATAAGGTTTTATGAGTGAGTTTCGGTGCAGTAATCTGTTAGCATTTTTCGCTCGTTGCTAATTCAGAGGCTCAGCGTTAGCATTGTGGGGGTTTTTATGAAAAAAAAAAAAAAAAGATCAGTTAGATGAGTTTCTTCCCGTTACATGGATATAAAACATTCATAGTTTATTAAATATTAAGATGCCCTCAGACACTGTTTCCTCAGATGACGCGTTTTCCCCCCCGATATCGGGGGTGCGGTGTAGAAGAGGTTAAATCCAACAGGCCTTCAATTAAAAAAAAAATAAAAACTTGTCGTCGTTGATAAACTGTACAATGACTTGTTGGGAGGCGTGTGGCACAGGTTCAAACCCCACTGCAGTCAGCATGTCGTTGTGTCCCTGGGCAAGACACTTCACCCCAAATTGCCTACACCTGGGACAGTTAATTTTGTATTATTGTGATTATATGCCACTGTTATTAATACTGACACTTCACTTTGCACTAAGGTGTGTCTGCTGCTGAGTTATTGTATATTGTTATTATATATATATTGCCACTCTTATTATATTGTTTTGATACTACTGACACTTTCTTTTATATTAAAAATGTTAACTTCTATTTACATTAACACTTTTAACTTGTATTTACATGCATACGACACACCTGGGACAGTGTGATGCCGTTATTGATATTGTCTTGAGTGTGCAATAAAAGAGAACCTACATGGCGATTAAACAGATCCTGTATCTTGCTTATTTCTCCTCTGACACTTTATCTTTACAGTGACCTGTGTAGCATCCTATACATCACATGTAAGTGATTATTCTGATACCATCATGTTTCATCGGTTATAAACTGGCGAAGCTTTATTTATTGTGTCCCACCCCAAATATGTGGCTTTGAAAAAGATAATTTCATTGTATTTCAAAATGGCGTCCATCAACACAAGCACTATTTATAGAAAGAGAAATGGTTAAGTTTGTAATTACCAGTGTTGTGAGTTCAATATTTTAATTAATTATAGTAAGGGAACATCTTAGGAGTTAGTGTAGTGAGTTTCAGAGCAGTGTAATAATTATTTGACCTAAAACTAAATGTTTTTATGAATGTCCTCTGAGGAGGACATGGGGATTTGCTAACTTTTTATTTCCCCCATTTTACACGACACAAATGGAGGCCACTATGGGCCAAAACTAACACGTAGGTTTCTGTAGGGTTCATGGCAGACGGATGCAGTTGCTCTCAGGAGGATATATAATATACATATTGCCCTGCCTGTTGATATAAGCCACTGTGGTGCTGTTGTCGCACCTGACCATTACATGTCTCCCCTGAATTAGGGGCATGAAATGCTGGAGGACAAACACTACTGCCCGTAGCTCTAGGAGGTTGCTGTGTCGAAACTCTGTCAGAGCCCAGCGCCCACCTATAGCTCTCTTCAGGCAGGTCCCTCCCCATCCTGTTCCGGACGCGTCCGTGAACACTGTAGGAGGTCACCCGTCCCAGTGGAGACCCCCTCCGGAGGTGGTCCGGAGACCCCCAAAACCGGAGGTTGCCCCCACTGAGGGGGGGAGGAATGGTCACCAGCCGTCGTTTGTGCTTCCAAACGCAGGCTGGGGAACCACCTCTGCAGGCGGCGCATATGTAGTAACCGGCGGGACCACCATGTGAGCAGCCGCCATGAGACCCAGAGTCTGCATGACAGTTAAAGCTGTCACTGTTGCCCCCTGTCGCAGCCTGTGCGCCGCCCTGAGACGGGGCGCACGTCTGCTCTCTGACAGGGTGGCACGCAGCGCGTCTGCATCGAGCACCACACCCAAATACAATGCCTGTTGGCGAGGTATGGGGGTGCTCTTTCTTTCCCATCGATCGCAAAACCTAATTTGGTTAGGTGTGTGATCAATTGTGCTGTGCAAAACATTGCCTGTTCCCGGGACCCAGCCATGACTATGAGGTCATCTATGTAAAAGAAAACTCTCATGCCGTGTGCGCGCAGCGGTTGAGGCGCTGTGGCCACACATTTGCTGAATGTGCGTGGGGATAGGGAATAACCGAACGGCAGCCTGTTGTATTCGTAGGCTATTCCCTGGAAGGCAAAACGCAGATACTTTCTGTGCTCTGGAACAATTTCCACCTGAAAGTATGCGTCTTTCAGGTCGATGGTGGTGAACCAATCGCCTGGCTGCACAAGCCCTAGTAACTGTTTCACAGTTAACATGCGAAATTTCCTGCTGGAAATATGACGATTCAGGCCCCGGAGATCTAGAATAGGTCTGAATTCCCCTGTTTTCTTGAGAACCAGGAAATACATGGAATAAAGACCCTTCTCTCTGTGCTGAGGATGCACAACAGACACAGCCTGTTTCTGCACCAGAGCCTGAATCTCTGCTGAGAGGAAACCCATCTCCTCCTGGGAAGACAGATTTACCTCTCGCATGCCCATAAAAGGAGGTGGGATGCTGCAAAACTGGAGTGAATAGCCCCGTTTCAGCGTCCTGTCCATCCACCTTGTCAGTACACAGCTGAGTTTCCATTACCCATAACATTGTGTTAATGGGCAAGCCCTCAGCTGTGGGGCCGCAGCTATGAAGCTGTGGTACTCTCTGGTGGCCCACTCCGCCGTCAAACCCTCCATAAAAGGAAGTTTGACCCATGGGGGGCTGACACAGAAAGGGCCGTTTTTCTATAATGCAGTTTCCACTCAGAGAAAAAAACGGCAGATTTTCCACTGAGGTCCCTGAACGCACCACGGCACGCTCCCGTGAGCAATATGGTCTAGCTGCGGCCGCGGCCAGTACACGACACTACACGACACGCCCCCTACACGACACGCCCACCTGACACGACACTACGGTGGCTGAGAGACATTACCGTACATGGCAGATTAAAAGCGAATTGACGACACTTATTATTATTGAGATCGTACATGGCAGATTAAAAACGAATTGCAAATGTTATTGTAGCATTTTAAGCAACTATTAGGCAAATAAATTAATAACCTAGTCTATCCGTTTGAGACACAACAGTATAACTTTCAACCCAAATCATTTTGTCAACAAACGGTGGTTTAGTAAACTTTTTTTTAATATATAAAATAGGTATTAATGAGATAATCTATTGATTATGTTTGTCTAACTGCTACACATGTATTTTATACATAAATGTAGATATTTGTGAACATCTAAATATAGTTGTTAAAGGTTTTAAGATATACATAATCACATCATGGGGTCATTAAGGAACAAATTAGGAGGGCCAGTCAGGCCACTAATGAGCTCAATCATTCACATGTATTATTATTACTTTATAAATTAAAAGTACTAGGGGTCTATTACAAAACCTTTGAAGGAATCGCATCAATTAAAATAAATGTATGGCAAGTATGATCAAATTAACATAATGTCAAGATATAGCCAATAGACAATCAACATGCTTTGAATATAAAGGAAGAACAACAATAAACAGATGAACATTTAAGTTTTATGTGTAAATTGTGAACAAAGCATCTTAATACATCTGGCAGTCTAAGACAGCAAACTAAGCTTCTTTAACTGCTGCTAGAACACAGTTTTACCATGGGGTATTTCTAACAAGACCAAAAAGATATACAAGGCTTCCAAAACAGAAGAAACCAACTCAATACAGTATTTTAATTTCCTTCAAAACGACAAAAGCACTAATAAAAACCAAATAACAATAACATAAAGGAAAAGTAATTGAAGTGGTTGCCTGTTGTAAATACCTTGGTATCTGGCTTGATGATTGTCTCTTCTCTTGCGTTCGGTCATACCCCCCTTCCCATACTATTATCGGTCAAAATTGGCCGGTGTGTTTTGCAGTGATATTTCTGGAACCCCTTATCCCATTTTGATGGTTGACATCTCATTTGAACAGTCAAAGCCAGAATGACAGCAGGGGTGAATTTCATTTTATAATTTTGCAATAAGTCAAAGATATGTTTACTGTATATTATAAAAATGCTTGTCATGTAGGCATACTGGAGATGGGAAGGCTTTAGTCAGTGTTGTAGCTGAGATTCTTACCGTTCCAATGATGTATTAATAATAACTTGGATTTATATAGCGCCTTTCATGAGACCCAAGGTCGCTTTAAAAAGAACAGGAGTAGAAACAAACATAACAAAAGGCAGTCAGACGAACAGTTAGACAGACAAAACAAATAGATTTGGGGCCAAAGACCTTGGCAGACTTGAGGGCCCTTTTGAAGGCGTCAAGCGTGGGGATGTTGCAGATCTCCGCAGGGAGAGCGTTCCAGAGAGTGGGGGCTGCCATACTGAAGGCTCTGTCCCCGAAGGATCGCAGGTTGGTGCGGGGGGCCAGAGTCTGAAGACCGCAGGTTCCGGGGTAGGGCATGTGGGAATTGTATTGATTTGATACAAGCAAGCCAGTGTTTCATTGTGTACTTTCAACTACAGTATATGGTCCGGCAAGTTCAGCATTCACTGCATTCACTGTGATGAATATACAATAAGACACTGATACCATTTTCCTCAATGAACATTTATTGAACAGAACATCATGTGGAAAATCAGAGGGGCACTATTCAAGCTGGTCTGCTTAAAAAAAAAAAAATAACCTTTTAAATTGATCCCAACAGTAAAATCAACATGATTTTAAATAAAAATGTAAGCAGCCAGGATTGACCTGCAGGAGGTTAAAGCCTATTTAAAAACTCCTCGGAATCCAAAGCTCTTCGGAATCTTTCACTGGAGTCCTTCAGCCTTTGATGCGCTTCCTCACTCATGTTCTTGGTGAGGTAATGAGAACAAAGTTCCATCTCACTGATAAGACAAGATGGTATAAAGAAGTCATATATGTAATATTATAAATTCACATGCATCAGGGGTTGTACACTTTAAATGGAAATTGTATTAGCATTCTCCTCATGTTTCCAGCTTACCTCCAGTCATACTCGGGTCCACATTTATACGTTTCCTTGGCTCTTTCAAGGGAAACCGAGAATACAGCTGCAAGGGCGTGGACTGTCGCCTGTGTCATGAAGGGATTAAAGCCACACGTTTAACAGTTAGAGTAAAATGTAGACATCCAATAAAGGTTGTGCCATTCTGCAGGTGACAATTATGCCAGACCAATTGGCATCAACATTCTACTGGACATTGACCATGAGTTTAAGTGCAACATATGTAATTTTATATAATGTGTAGTCGACAAATAAAAAGTCAGTGAAATCTAACCTCTGGCAGAAGCACATCCATGACGAATGCCACCTCATCTGTGAACCTTCTCTCCGTCTGTGTCCGGACGGAAGGTGTCCGAGTCCAATTTGTTGAGCTCTGGGCGTGCTCCATCACGGAGTGTTGTGTTGTTTGTCTATAGGTGAATAAAATAGAATACAATTTCAGTGACTTTAATATTGGAAATAGTTAACTCCTTAAACAAGCAGCAATGGACTGGCCTGTATAATCCTATGGGACAAAGCTGGTCATACTTCCTCACTTTCAGAAGGTAACCCTTTAACTGCCAGCGCCACCATTTGGTAGAGCACATTTTGTGTCTTGATATCTTGTTGGGAAAAAAAAAACTTTAACTCCATCTGATTCAGCCAGCTCTACCCTTTTGGTTGACATGTTATGCACAAAACAACCTCTAGATGTCACTGTGGTTCGAACAGAAAGCCCTTCAGCTAGTTTAAATCTTTATATATACAGTCTATGGTTTAAATGTCAGGCCTACAGCATGGCCACAAAGCCCATCTAAAAACAGAGGCCTGATTGCATCCACCTGGGTTACTTGGCTCTACCCAATAACTATATATCATTTAACTTTAAACCACACTTAAAATAATAATATAATTATACATATGTGCATGTCAGTATAGCAGCTAATACATGTTTTTTTTTTTTAAACATTCAAATGTGAAAGACACCTTCAATTAATATTTAAAACGTACACAAAATCAGATTCTTGTAAAAATGCGAGTACATGTATTGTTCCATCTGTCAAGCTAAAATATATACATATATCTTAGCTCTTAGCTTGACATGCTACTGAACGAGCATGTTCAGTTAGCATATATGCTAACTGAACGTCGAGCATGTCAAGCTAAGAGCTAAAAAATATATATATATATATATATATGTATTCCATTCCTTTACATTTAATATTTAAAATACAAATTAGCAAAATAAACACAATTACACTGCGCTAAACAGCCACATCGACAAACAAACGAGAACCTAAATAGTATGTAATTATATCTAAAACCACAATACGTTAATTACCTGTACTCGGTGCGCCATATTGTTTGTCTGTTCTCTGTAAACCTCATGTCTCCTTAAATATCCTTGCGTCAGCGTCAGTGTCGTCAATTCGCTTTTAATCTGCCATGTACCGTAATGTCTCTCAGCCACCGTAGTGTCGTGTCAGGTGGGCGTGTCGTTTAGGGGGCGTGTCGTGTAGTGTCGTGTACTGGCCGCGGCCGCAGCTAGACCCTTCTCCCCGTGAGAGTGCGCACTCCGCCATAATGCTGTTTCCTCTTAGAGAGAAAGAGGCATTAATCGGAGCTTCTTCTGTCCATGAACGCACCGCGGCCTGCTCTCGAGGGGGGGCCGCGCGTCGTCATAATGCTATTTTCCTCACTATGGAAAACAGCATTAACCGGAGTTCTTACAGGCGTAGTGTGTTTTACTAAGGCCCCTGAACGCACCGCCACGCGCCTCTTTACAAGTGCGGGCGTTGCTATAATGCAGCCCCTATCACTATAGTAAACAGCATTATTTGGAGTCCTAGCTTCAGGCATAGAATGTTTTCTAACAGAAAAACGTCGGCCATAATGTCCCTGTACCCGCACCGCACTATAACAGTGCTGCCTGCGGTTTATCACTCTCATCTGCGCACTCCCACTAGCCTCCTCCCTAACGGGAGCTATAGCTGGGGCGGCGAGTGGGGAATTTGTAAAGCTCTTTTCGTCCGTTTATGAAGCTGAAGGAGCCTCGGCGTGTCACAACTGGACGCCACGGGACCCTGACCAAGCTTTGCTCCTGGACGCTTAGGGAGTGAGAGTGTGTTGTCATGTTACGTGTTCAGCACTACATGCGTTTATCTTTACCCATGGATGCACAATAAGAACGGACCCATATCGCCTTACTGCCAGCCCACGGAGCTGTAATAATGGATATATTGCACATGTTTGCTGTAATTCATCATTTGTAAAATATTACACTACAGATGGAGCATCTTATTTCAGACTCCAGCTTACTGCTTCCTGCCTACTACCTGCCAGTTACCTGCCTAACCCCTAGATTCCACCGGGTCCGTCTGCGGCGCGTTACGGACGCGTTACGGCTGCGCCGCGGTGCTCAAGGTATCCGCGGCCACTCTAGTCAATGGGTGCTATTCCACCACACGCGGCGCGTTACGGCTCAGACGCGTCCCAGAAGCGTCCCAGAAGCGGCTCGGCGCAGGGCTTTTCTAAAATTAGGATTGAATCCTATTTTTGTCGCGGCGCAGCCGTAACGTAAGGTCTGGCAGGCAGGAAGTGGAACTTTCAGAGCATATATAGCATATATATATATAGATATATACACACACACAAACTAATTTTGCAGACCCTATCCCTCCGTAGTCTTTCAAGTAGGAGGAGAAATGCCAGCGTTCTCCTCCGGTTTCCAGGCACTGTGTAAATTATATATATAGAATAATTATGATGATGAATGCATTTTTTTACCACTAAAATACAGCAACACATCTTTGATTCATGTCGTTTATAACTGGAATATTACAGTTATTATTAACTTTGTCTGTACAAAGTAGCCTGTCCAGGAAATATGCCCAAATCAACAAAAACTGCGAGCCGGCAGGCAAGACTCTCCGCTTCTGAAATGCTTCTGAAACGCGCCTGGTAGGGTATGACGCCGGAGGAGGCCGGACCAAAACCGCGGCGCAGCCGTAACGCGGCGCAGACGGACCCGGTGGAATCTAGGGGTAAGACCTGCCAAAGACCAGTATCTGGGAATGTTAAGCCCTCCCACTATTTTCCAAGAGGGCGTTGCCAGATTTTCAATTTCAGGATTTAACCAGGAGATGGCGCTTCCTTCACAAAAACAGGAAGAGAACTTTCATGGACTTTCAGTTTTGTTTAGAAGAGCATTTGAACACATCAATATTTTAGATCAAATAAAGTATATCTAATCTTGTAATTCAATAATATATAGTCTTTATATATTAAATAACTATGGCCAAACTAAGACTTAGTTTTTCACAAGAGAAAATGCAGATATTATATAAAAAACTAAAGTTAAAATCTTGTTTTTAATGCCCCAAGAGCAATAAAAACACTTGGTAAAAGAATCCTGAGTGAGGCTTTCATAAATTGCATTTAGCTGACGCTTTTATCCAAAGCGACTTACTATTTAATAAATGATAAATGATTATTCATAACAAATATGAGTGATGTGTGATTATTATTCATGCTATATACTGATATAGGGCTAAGTAAGCAATCAATCCTGCAAATTAACCCTTAGTTGTTCAATATATTTATTCAGACAATGTGAGTAGAAATACAGAAATTCTGCTCCCACCTAAGGCCAACGTTGCAATATTACAACATTTCCCGAAAAACTTACCAAAACGTAAACATTTTTAAAACTCTTTCATTTCTGCTCCAGAGGCCAGGGGTTAAATTGGAAAAAACTATATCCGGTCACAGTGATCTGCTATTTTAAAGTAAATTCAACACATATCGACCCTAAATATAGCATATATTAAGAACGAGAAAGTGTTAACATCGTTTTTTTGTAAACATATGACAAATGTGCGAGGGTGATGACATCAGAGCATCGTCCTATGGGCTTAGCCCCGGACAGGTACAACAGGTATTCACTCAGAGGGGGGTAGGTACTAAATGCCACCCATTTACATGTAGGCAAACAGTCAAAAATCAACATACAGTAGGGGGGTGGGGGATGGTGAACGGTATGTGGGTATGTGGGACACTGAAAAGTCTATGTTAAAAAGCCTCAGTAACCTTAATTCATGTAATAAAAACATCTCAGGTCAGTAACACTGAAAGCTAAATGTGCAATACCATGTTCAGCTATGTTACTATTTATAATGTTATTGTTGTTACAACAGAAGATGTTTTTTTTTTTTTCTTTTACCCCATTCACACCAACGGTGTTTCAGGGCCGGTTCGGAGCTGGAGCTTGAAAAGCACCGGGTTTTCCTGTTCACACCGCAGCGAAGCAGCCTCTAAGCTCCGGAATCCGGTTCGTTTCGAGCACCAAAAAGTTGTCCGTCTAGAAGCAAGAACCGCATACGTCACTCTTACGTCGGGTCGGAGGGGGGCGAGATTAACCTGAGCTAACAGTTAAGGCGAGTACGGCAAATAAAAGTTGTAACAAGCAGTAGTGCTGAGCAAAGTGACTAGAACGCAACCACACACTTGTAAAAAAAAAACACGCTTTATAAAGTCAGGCAACACTAACCAGGCTTCGTGTGATTCTGTTTATTTGTACCTTACTATGACCATCCGTTCGCTGTTGATCATTGTGGAGAGCAGGCAGACGTTTTGTTTTGTATTATAGCATGCTATCGGATGGAATCAATACATGGGCTGCACAGGTTGTCATGTCCGACTATCACAAGTAGAATCATAATGAAAAATACGCCGGTAAAATGTGCCTGTAGAAAACGGCTTATGCCACAATAGGATAGCAACAAGTAGTCAAGTTATAGTCAGTTTAACTTCGGTTGCTATGCTAACATCACCCATTTTATATCAGAGACACTTTCATAACAGCGTTGTGATGCCAAACAGCGTCAATTCAGACTGACACACATTCACTTATGGGGAATTGGGAATATGTATCAGCTGCTTGTGTGACAGTCAGACAGTGAATACTTTAGAGCCGTGTGAGCTAACCCGGAGCTAACGGGAGAATAAACTCCCGTGGAAGAGCAGCCAGCACTGCAGCGGTCGGTAAATGCCGCTGAAACACATTAATAAACAATGAACCACGGCACTCTGGAGAAAAGTATAAGGTTGGAGAAGTCGTTATTTAATTTAATCTGGCTTCGTATGATTAAAAGCAACACGATCATCGACCCGACGCAGTCCCCGGCCCGTTGTTGTTGTGAGCTCCGTTGGGGAGAAAATCAGCGACGTAAACTGTGACGTCATGACGCAGCAGCGGCAGCACCAGTCGGGCTCTGAGCGGTGTGAACAGAGCGGGAGCTGAACCGAAGAACCGGTTCTGAACCAGAAAAGCTCTAGCACGGAGCAAGAACGGGAAAAGCCTTGGTGTGAAAGGGGTATTTGAGGTCAAAATTAAGAGATTTATGGATACCGCTGGAAAAAGCTGCATATGCCGAGCCTGTACGTAGCGCTGTAACTTCCTCCACAAAAGCAGCCTTCTGTTTATTCAACGTGGTGGGGGCCGAGCGAACCGGGCAGAGTTTTTCGCCGGTCAACGTGTGTGAAAGTTTAAATCTTCCTTATTGAGCTTTAAAACAAATGAATAACGACTATATATAATAATAAAATAAACACAGGCTGTTGTTATGCCTGCTGTAACGTTAAATTACTCCGTTCTCCGCTTAAGTAATTATGCCGTGACAAGCTTCATAGTTGTATTTATCATCTAAATTTGCCGAAACAAGTTTAATATTCTGAAAGCCAAGACTTTGTTTATTTGAAATCAGATGCGGCGCTGCGGAGGAGCAGATTGCGAGTGAGGTGCCTGTCATCTTCCCTTTACAAGCTTCACAAATGTATTTATCGTGTGATTTTGGAAATAAGTTTCATATTCTGAAAGCCAAGACTTTGTTTATATATTATACGTGGGTAGCTATGACGTCAGAAGGAGTTACCGTAATTTGCAGCGACTTGACAGACATCTGCAAAGTCCTTATAAAATGATAGAATTTAAAAGAGTCTTGAAAAAGCATGGTGATGGCAATAAATGCATTAATGAATCCCCAAAATCTACAGAATACATTTAATTTCAGTATCTCAGGTCAGTAACACTCAAAGCTAAATGTGCAATACCATGTTCAGCTATGTTACTATTTATAATGTTATTGTTGTTACAACAGAAGATGTTTTTCTTTATATTGAAGTTAAATGCATCAATCTGGTGCACTTTGAGGGCAAAATTAAGAGATTTATGGATACAGCTCTCAACACTCATATGAAACAGAACTGTTATAATAATGAAGAGAAACTATGAAATAAGAAATGAATCAAATTAAAATGTAATTATCATATCATATATTATATAGTGTATTGTATTATTAAGTAATATCATACATTAACCCCATTATAGCAGATGCCACATTGAAT